TCTTCGGAAATCTACGGGTGACGTCACGGACACTACGTCCATGTTTTTATACAGTCTATGGTATTTACCCTGACATCTTGTTATTACAAATGTAACATTTTGTCTGGGTCTGTTTTCTGACATAAAATGACACTCATTAAATACAGTATGATGTAGATTCACTGTTCATACTGTCCTGTGTTCCAGTGTATCCCACACTTATTTAATTATAACTGCGCCTTGCAGAATTTTGTTCCTTCATGTATGGATTAACAACATTTATCTCGACTGGAACAAGGAACAATGTATATCGATGACAATATATTTGTATGCAATTTAGGGCTGCAAAACGATTAATCGCATTCAAAATAAAAGTTTGTTTACATACTATATGTGTGTGTACTGTGTATATTTATTATGTATATATAAATGCACACACATATTTATATATTAAGGAAAAATATGTTACATTTATATAAAATATTTATTTATATAATATAAATTATATACAAGTAGAAATGTATACACATACTAATATTTGTTTTAAAAATATATACATATGTGTGTGTATTTATATATACATAATATACCCTGTACACACAAAGTATGTAAACAAACTTTTATTTTGATTGTGATTAATCGTTTTGCAGCCCTAATGTAATTATTTACAACTTGCGTAATAACATTAAGTTACTTGTCTTGTTACTCTTGTATAAATAATTGTTAACACTTTATTTTAAGGTGTCCTTGTTACACGCTATATGTACTTACTATTATAATAACACTTAATTATGCATAATTACATGCAAGTAACCATAAGCCAAACCCTAATCCTAACCCTAACCATATAGTAAGTACATGTAGTTACTTAATATTACTCAGTACTTAAATGTATAATTACACTGTAACAAGGACACCTTAAAATAAAGTGTAACCGAATAATTATGAGTCAAACAACAATGATCTAAAGATATCAATTATTTAAATGCACTTGATGGAATTGTTTTGGGCGTGTGTACCTTACTTAAATACTGTTTACAGACTTTGCACTAATATAGGTCAGTAAAATTAACAAAAAAAAAACTGACCCGAGGGAGCCGCAGAACAAACTGACTCTCCAGCTCATGAGGAGCATCTTCTTTGCTTTTGGAGCCCACCTTTCCTTTTTATTCACATTTATTACACATTTACACACTCTCTCTCTCTCTCTCTCACACACACACACACACACACACTCACACAAATATGTGGTTATTAAATGTTAATACATTATACCAAGGTAGGCACTAAATGATAACCACGATCTTGAATCTCAGAATACCATGTGAATATCATGATTGACACATCGCAACACTTGTTTAAAACACCGTTAGCCTACACCTCTTTTTTGTTACTAGAAGAGAAACCGAGTGAATTCACTAATGTATGCATGCTAGTAACGTTACCTTTCGTTTTTGAGGTCATCTTTGGTTCCTAATTTTGCACAAAAATAGGAAAAAGAGACGCTGTTTGCATATAAAAGCAAAATATGTGCAAACTATGAGCTGGCTGTTTAAAGAAAACGGTTAACGCGTTTTAGGAATAACACTTCTTTTAGAGTGATAAAATACTAAAAAGTGCATTACAATTAAAGCGTGTTAATAAGAAAACTAAGAAGCTAACAGGCTAACGTTACATAGAGTGGGTATCTGATATACAACAGCGTCAGATAGGATAATTGTTAAATATTCGTTTATTTAAAATACACAGAGAATAAATTGGTTGTAATAGAAAAGTTATCATGAATTATACACTGCGTAAATACACAGATTTTGAGAGACAGAAACTAAATGGTACAAATAAATATTGCTATGCCTCGGCGAACTGTCTCGCGGAAGCTCAGCGTATGTTAGCGCTTCACTGCCACCTGCTGTCCGTTGTGTGAAAAGAAGCTGAACATCGAAACCTACTAATACTAGAACATGAAAGCCTAAGTCTATTAACACAGTTTCAGAGAATGTAGCGACTGGGCAATTGTTTCGGTGAACACTTATGTGACCATAAGAAGAACAATATGATACCAAAAAAATGTACAAATAATCTTTATAGCACATTTGTCAGGAATGAATGAATAAAAACAAAGCACTCGTACGTTGTCCCATATGGTCTAGCGGTTAGGATTCCTGGTTTTCACCCAGGTGGCCCGGGTTCGACTCCCGGTATGGGAAGTACTGTTTTTTAACTTTATATGTGTGAATTACAAGAAATTTCTGTTAGACAATTAAATCTACTATATTGTGTTAATAATAACAATGCCACACTATTTATGTACAAAGAACATTATGAGCAGGTAAGGCATAGTTACAAATAAGGTCAGTAAAATACAATAATGAATTATAGAAAGTTAACAGTTAAATAAATTAAGATAAATATTACTTCCTTCTAGATGTGTGACTCATTGTGTAAGAAACCCAAAGATGTTCAAGGAACATAATGGTTAAAAGGAGAGACGATGTGATAACTATGTGCTTTTTAGAAAGAAAGAAAGAAAGTTATTTATAAGAAAGTAAGTTTATTGTTCTGTGTTTTTATTTCAACATGTCTCTACATTAGGTTTTAGGTCCTAAAATACGTAGTGTTCAAGTAGTTTATGGGGAAAATGTACTTTTTAATTGATTAAATTGTTGAAAATTAAATGAGAAAATAATACCGTTAAAAGTCTGAGAACAATTTATTACATTTTGTATAAATAAGTAAATCCCCTGACCACAAATAACACTACTACCCTTGAATTCCCCAAACAGGCTATTCCGATAATGGGCGGGGAAAACGGTGTGATTAAGGGGTCTTCTGAATTTATTTTAATCACAAACTAACGGTCAGTATAATTAAGGGGCTGTCTGAATTTATTTGATGTAACAAATTAACGCTCACTCACCTGCAGGACAAGGACACTACTATGCAGGCGACATGGTATGATCGCCTTATAACAAAAGCGATGTTTTTACTGCCATTATTAATGCCATATTTAACATTATCATGTTAAACAAAATGATTTGTATATCCGATAATGTATGTGCAATGAGGCTGAGGATTAAATGAATAAATAATGAATAAGCAAGGTGCTGTTAACTGGAGATGTCTCTCAAAGCTAGTGCTATATTCACATGAAAATGAGCCAAAACGAAAAGCTGCTCACATAAACAAAGTCGTATGATTCGTCGAGTAGGTGCCGACGTCATCCATTCCATCTACAACCCTGAAAGACGCGTCACTTCACTGACTACATGGGAGCGTTTTAGTTTGACGCTTCGCTCGCTTTGCACTGTAGTCGCCGAACCCTGGACCAATCGCTTTCGAGGGAAAATGTGAGCGCAAGGAATTCCCCACGCAGTGAAAACAGTATAACCTTATGTTAGGCAAGAGAAAGCGGCGAAGCTCGATTAGAGCTTCAAAAACAATGAGCTTTTAGAAGATTTTGTCTTTGCAAAAGAGGATAAAGTTACTTCGGTTTAACAGGACTGAATCGGGAAGGAGGATTCAGATGATGACAGATTGCTCAGGAATTGTTTCATTGAAATGATCGGAGTGTGTCCATCACTTTCCCCACGCTAACATTTAAACCTGTAAAATGATGGCACGTTAAGATGAAGGTAAGTGTTTGTAAAGTTTGCATTGTCTCTTTACCTTGCTCTTGTTATTTTAAATGCTATTACTTAAGATATTATAGTTTTTTTTTTATTAGTTTTTGGTGAATTTGAGATCGTAGGATGGCTTTTAGAAGTTTCTCTTTGTGTGTCAGTGACTGCATGTACAATGCATTGAATGTACAAGCACTGTTTATTTTATTCAGGTATACATGGAGTCTTTTGGATTTGCTGACATTCCATAAACCAACATATGTTGTCATAATTCTGATCTCATATGACTGCTCTGATCTGAATAGCCCCCAGGATAGCTTGACCAACTGCTCTGTTGTGCCCCTCTCCCATAACTGTGCACTGAGTTCCAGCATGACTGCGGGCATGTGAATATAATGACTGGTTCAGTGTGAGAATCTCTTGTTTTAGGCAGACATTGCTGGTCAAGACACAGTAAGGGCTTCACATGAGTGTGAACAATCAGTTATCCAGTCCTCGGTGCTGGGGCTTATGGTGCATCAGTGTTTTCATTCACACCAGGACATATTTGTGGATGTTTATCTTTAAAACTGGTTTGTCTTTGTGTCATTTTCACTACTTGTAACCAAGTTCAGATATTAGCCAAGGCTTGGAGTAAAAATGCAACAAGAGAGAATAAAAGGCCATTGATGTGTGGGCAAAAGTGCTTTTTTATCCGTTATCTGATATAACATAGTAACTCGGCAGTTATGTAAAACATGCTAGCAGATCATTTTTTGTGTTGCCATATCTAGTGAATTATTTACAGATTTTGGTGTAACAGACATAATTGACATTATTTATTTATTTGTAGTAAAACTAAGGAATAAGGCTAAAGTGACTTGAACATCCACGACAAATCGCCTATTTCAGACTTTGCTTCTTATGATATGTAGCAATTAGTGTCTAATTTCATATTGTAACAGAGTATTAAATCCATCTGCTGGTGCATGATGTTTTCTTAATTTGTTTTCTTTATTTGTGGCTTGACGTCTCACCCATTGTCTAACTGTCTAAATGTTTGCCAGATGTTTACATTTTTTGGGATACAAAGCTCCCCTGTGAGACATGTATATTGAAGTATCTGTTTGGCTGCAGTGTTCTCAGCATTCTGGCCATTGGGAGGTGCTGGGGTCAGGGAGTATACTTGTGTTCTCCTGCTTTGGGAGTTTGTGATATTAGTCAGCTCGTTTCATCCAAAAATGTTATCAGCTGGTTCTGATACCCCCTCCCAGACCTCGCACACCCCAGAGGCCTTTAGAAAGCTGGAAATTCCAGTCTTCTGAAACTAATTATCCTCAATGAGAGGCTCTAAATATACCCTTTAGTTGGTGCTGTTTTGAGTCTTTTCTTTCAGAAATACAGTTCTTGGTTCTTCCCCTATTTCTTGTTATGACTTTGTGTCTCAGAACTCATGCCCAATGACCCTATTGTGCCTTTGAACTGGATTGCCAGAAGGCACAAAGGGGCTCTCAGATGCTCTTTCTGCCTCTTTTAGCAGACGAGGCACGTGGCTTGAGATATCCTAGAATGACAATGAGAGGTATGTGGGAAGCCTCTGTGTAGGGAACATCCCCAGTATTTACTTTGCTGTAGAATATGTGGCCATGACCGTGACTCCCATGTGAATCCAAGCGAAGCCAAGTCAAGGAGAGTTATCCTAGGGCAGATTCATCCAGCTCATTCCACTCTGCTCTTGGCCCGATGGTGTACAGAAAATCACATGAGATATGACTTAATGGGCTGGCTATTGATTTGTCTCCACATTTGAAGACATCAGTCTTTATAAACTCGGTATCCAGGAACTGCATCACCAGGGCATCATCAGCTGAGAGCTTGCTGCAACATGAGCCGACTCCTTGCAGACAGACTACAAGCATCAGCAAAGATAGCTGGAGTGTGCTAGGACAGTGTGCATAATATGACGCCTCATTTTTCTTTGTGTAAGCCTTCACCATTCATTGTCATACGGCTCACAGCATGTGCAGAAAATGGATTGAGTAATTGTCTGTTGGGTAATTCCTCAAAATATATCCTCATAAATCTCTTAAATATGGCTTTAGTTTTAGAATGCTGACAAGAACATACCAGATGATATGTCTTATATGCGTATAATTAAGTCAATAGGCTTCCACAAGGTGGTGGTGTTCATTTATTAAGCTCAACAATAAAGATGGCTTGGAACCATCTTAACCAATTTATAGAACTGTCATTTGGCCTTTTGGGCGAGTGCGGTCATGCCACTGAAATTGATTCATTGATGCTGGACATTCTTTTTTTATTCCATCCTTTTAAACGTTTTGGTTTTCTGGGATGTGTTCTTTATTGTTGTTGCAAATTCTACTGGCTTGTCACCAAGATAATGTTATCAAGCTTGGTAACATAAACAGTTAGCAAGCAACAACAGTTATGATTTGAAGTAATCGGTAAAAAATGTGTTGAAAACTACAAACGAATCAGCTAGTTTACGAATTTATGGAGTTAAAAATTTGTTGACATTTTTTGAACTTATATAAACCCTTATAATCCTCATTTAATGAAAAATATAAATATTTCTAGCAAGTATAAAAATACATTAAGATAATAAGAATCAATCATGCAGAGAAAAAAATCATTGTTGTTGAGCCATGTTCTATAGACACAAAACAGGATTTTCATATTAGTCATTAGTTTAACTGTTTGTAATATTACAAACTAAGGCAGTGCTCTGTACTCTGTTGTAAATTTTAAGTTATGTCTTTCAATTGCATTTTATTGTTAAAATAAAAAGAAGGAACTGCTACTACTGTATATGGGAAGGTGCACCATATTAGTTTAATGGAATATAACTTCTGTTATGACATTTTTAAAGTTATGGGCCTTTTGCATTGTTCCTCATATAAATTACTGTTGAGAAATAGTTCTTGGTGAAGTAAGAGGGGGAGACAGGTGATTCTCACACATTATTAGGTTTCCATAATCAGACAAGTCATTTTGATTCGAAGCCTGTTCCTGACGCATTTCCTTACTGTTATAGCAAAGCGTGTAATTCAGAAAGGTATCTTACCCTCTGTTTGCGTTCACATTAGATTAATATTTAGGTTAGTGTAATGTTATGCTGCTGTAACCTTGCTGTTCAGATGGCAGCCACATATGTGGGAGTCTTATTAAGAAGGCATTATAGAGATACAAGGCCCACTGCCTTTGTTTTGACTGAAGAAAGACAAATATGGAAAGCTTGGGTATTTTTTAAGCAGGAGCATCTTATTGCTGATGGCTGATGTTGGTAAGAGGTGGAAGGTTTGCTCCAGTTTATTACATTGACTGAACTTTAAATATAATTAGAGAGCGTTTTATACAGTGGCTTTAAATTTGATTTTACAATTCATGGTTTCAGGTCCCTTACTGTTTGAGTAGACCTCAAATGACATGCTAACATTTGTTTTTTATTAAAAGTCAGTGTGTGGAAAAAAGGGACGTGGGATGTTGTTGAGT